ACCAACCATTCCATGTGCTATGGTAGAAGACAGCCATTTTATTGTGCTCAGAGATGCTGTGGCTCAGGAAGCTTTCAGGGACTGAGCATGGCGGCAGCTCCACGGGGAGGACACGGCTGGAGGCTTCACTCTGTGGCTGGGCAGGCGCTGACTTCTGGCAGGAAGCTCAGTTGGAAGCGTTAGAAGTTAGCGCCTCCAGGCAGACTCTCCACGTTGTGCTTTGTCGCATGGCGGCATGTGAGGAGGCCATCCTTGTCCAGCCCAGCTCAGGGCTTGGGAGCGAGCTAGTACTCCGGGGGAATTACAATCCACTAATTTGGGAAGTCAGCCTTTACTTCTAGGACACTACGGCTACAGCCAACAGAGGCTGTGCAGACACCTTATTGCGCAGTAACACTACACATGACATGGCGGCAGTGTGGCCCCACGTGGGCAGGAGGGCCCACCTTCTTCCTTTACTGGATCTACTTTCTTTGGGTTAGTATCTGCCACCCCATTTCATTTCCAGAAATACAGGCAAAGGAACATTCCAGAAAATGAACCTCTAGTATGGGCTGCTAATATATTCTATCTGCTTCCTTGATAAGTGGTCCACAGGAGAGCAGAAGCATCCAAAGACCCTTTTCCTTTTCTCCTAAGGCCAGAGAGCCACAGCACGGCTCCTTCCTCCCCTCAGTCCCCTTGGAGGACCAGTGAGGGCTGAGAGGACCTAAAATTATTTATCTCCCTCCTATGAGGCCATGGCTCCCAGTGAACTCCATCCTTCATCATTTAAAACAGGCGTTGAGAGAAATACCTTTGTGAGAGGAATTACTGGGCAGCCCTGCTGGTAAATACAGAGCTAAATGAAATCCAGCACTTTCCATGGGCTCACAATGTAAGATGAAGGGAAAGGTCCTGTCTGTGAAAGGGAGAAGACCGGCAACCAAACTGTCCAAGAGATCTTCAGTGTAGATGTGGCTTCTTCAGTAAACTTCACATGTTCGTAATGAGCAGGACGCATCCAGCTATGGGGAGTGGAATATCTCTGCACCCCTAATGTGGTCCTCCTTCAGTAGCTGGCTTCTGAGGCAGGGTCCTGGGGAAGTGGCCGAGAGTGGGAGGTGGAGGTCTGGTAGGACGTGGCGGTCACTGGGGGTGTGTCACTGAGGGGTTTGCCTTATCCCCAGTCGACCACTTTTTACTCTGCTTCCTGGCTACCATGGAGTGAGCAACTCGCTCCAGCACAACCAGCCCAGAAACAACAGGGCCAGCTCAGCAAGGGCCGGAACTTCTGGTGTGGTGAGCCAAAACATATCCCTCTAAGTCCCTTTCCTCCAGTTTGTTTGTTTGCTTGTTTTTTGGTCACAACAGATAAAAGTCTAACACAGTCCCAATAGCTCCTGTGTGGGACAGCAGTCAAATTCCAGATTCTGTAATTTTTACTTCATCTCCTCAAGAAGGGCTGGGAACTCCTTCAAGCAGCTTCATCAGTGGTAAGGCAGGGGGCAGAGTCCCTGAGCACCACTGCTGAACACGGTCACAGCCCAGTCCAGGACAGGTGGAAAGGGAGTGGAGTTCCGCCCGAGGGCCGGCGTTGGGTATTCTGCACGGAGCACCTCTCAGGTGCCACACAACCTGGCTCTTCCTCCTCTACGGCAGGTACACAAAAGTGTTTTCATTCTGACAATGAGGGACATAGTGACCAGACATCAGCACTTTGGATAATAATCCATTTTGCTTCATGTCACTAGTTATTAGCTGAATCAATACATATTTTGAATAAAAGTGACCATGTTGAACTGCTAATAGGTTAGCCATCTCCTGACTTACCTTCATCAGATCAGTTAGACTTGCATAAAGAGGAAAGAAGAGAGCTGTAGTATAGCCAGGCAAATGATCTGGTTATAGAATTTGTTTTGAAAAAAAAATCAAAACTAGTCTTTAATATACTTATTCAATCTCTTGTGCTGGCGATTGAGAAACAGCTATAATTTTGTATTCCATTTTTGGTTTGTAATGCAATGATCTTGGAACCTGGACAGGTAGGAGAGACTGCAGTCATGGCTTTCTCCTAAGATGAGAGTTTGGCAGTGGATTCTTAAAGAGCCTTTGAAGGGAGCCTCCCTGTGCCGCATTAGCAGACACTAAGCAGCGAGGTCAGCCCAGTTCACCATGAGGGACTGCAGGATCGGTCTGCCGTTCCTCGTCAACCTAAAAATAAAGTGGTGTGTTGTTGAGTGTGAGGTATTGTCTTACTGGATCAGTAGCCGTCACTGCTGGAAAACTGGCCTATCACCTTGGAGAGAGAGAGAGAGAGAGAGCAAAGGAGCTAAGGGGCTGGCCCGCGATGCCCAAAGTGTGGATTACTCCCCTACTCACACTTCCGCGTCCCTGCCACAGACCCTGGCACTTTGGAGACAGTACCATATAGGCTGTACTTACTTGATTGTAAAATGCACTTATTGATTTCTTTAGACCTCACCATGAAGATGACTTGAGCTTCCTCTCACAGGGGTTGCACACACAGCATGCAAATGGCTGACCATGTGACATCACACAATCCACAAAGAGCTTACAGGCGCAGTGCACACAGCTCTTCAAATCTATTATCCACGCAGATAGCTGGCCATGTCACACCACACAACCCACTACATCAAAACGCTCCCCAGGCACATACAGGATGCGTTCCTATGATGGACTTTTCTATCTTTTTACTGACACATCATGGTGCTTAGTCTGCTATTACTGCACTCAGCTGACATGCTGACGCAGAAGCCAACCAGCGAGGACTCCATGTGCTCCCCTGAACTCAGCCATCTTGTTCCGTGTACCTAGCAATGTTCTCATTCCCCTTTCCCTGGGAACTCACCTACAATTGGGCTTAAGAACCCAACAGGATGGACTGGGACTGTGGCTTAGTGGTAGAGTGCTTGCCTAGCAGGCATGAAGCCCTGTTCGATTCCTCAGTACCACATACACAGGAAAAGCTAGAAGTGGTGGTGTGGCTCAAGTGGTAGAGTGCTAGCCTTGAGCAAAAGAAGCTCAGGGATAGAACCCAGGCCCTGAGTTCAAGCCCCAGGACTGGCAAAAAACAAAACAAAACAAAACCCCCATAAACTACAAAAAACACCAACCCACAAAACCCAACAGGAATTATTAACACCTTTTGCTTTGTACAAAGTCAATGCTTCCACAAAGCTCGCAGGGTCTCTGGCGAGTCTGGGCTGTCTCCCTTGGTGGAGCGAGGGATGCACGGCTGTTTTACATGTTCATGGTGCGAGGCTATCCCAGAGGGCCAGGGCACCTTACCTAGAGTGTGTGTGTGGGGGGGAGTTATGTGCTTGGCTGTGTTCTGTGTTCTATGAAGTCTTTCTTGTTACACTTGACTTAGCGTCTGTGGTCATCCAATGGTGTGGATGACACATGGGTAAACAAAGTCAATGACAGTCAAGATAAAGTGGAGGTAGGGTAATCACTGAGTTCCTTCAGGGATCAAGTTGCTCAGTTCACTAAAAAATTACAACTTTATTTTCTCCTTTCCATGAAACATGTAAATTCAAAATACAAATCCATTTAGCTGAAGCTTCTGTTCGTGTGTATATGTGTGGGATCATAATAACCTCACCCCCTTGCAGCTATCCTGAGAACTGCCCTGCCCAGCTTCTCTGTGGGAGGCCTCTTGTCCAACCACCAATGCCGATTTTCCGATTCCTGAAATCACTAAGAATGTGTGGGTTTATATCGTAACCTCACAGGCCAGACCTCACACAGGCCACTTTTCCAGATGGCTGAACACTACAGCTTCACTATGGAGAAAACCAATATGTCATGGCACACGCTTTCCGACGTCACTTGTAACTGAGTTTACGTGCTTTACGTTTCCATTTTCGGCAGAGCTTAGAATCTTAGCAGTTTCAGAAACTCAAACACAAAACAAAACAAAACAGCAATGAAATACTCTATATGCTGGCAACTCAAAGACAAGGACTTTTCATGCTTGTGTTCTGAGTACAGTCCCCAGAGAGACTGCATCTGACAAGACTGGATGACTGGTCCAAATGGAAAGGGGAAATCTCCATACCAGAGGTTGAAAGCCTGTTTAGTAAAGCAAGGTCCAAAGCTCTCAAGTCTAGTGTGCTCAGCCTGGAATATGTATGGCTCTCCATCACTGCAGGAGAGAAGCAGCATTCCATCAAGACCTGGGTCTGATGAGAACCACGAACCACCACGACTGGTTGGTTTCCTCTGCAGTGATCTCAGAAAACATTTCTGCTTCATGGGTGTTTGGACAACTGGTTAGGTTCAGCAAGATGCTGTGATTTGGATACAAAGTTCCCTTCCCTAATCATTCTGTGTGGAAGGCTTGGCACCAGCTGGTGGTGCTGTTTACTGAGAGCTGATTGGACCATGGAGATGCTAATAGGGTCAGTGGATTAACCCACTGATGAGTTCACAGTTGATTGGCAGCCAGGAGGTGGGGCCTGGTAGAGGAAGTAGGTCAGTGGGGCAGGCTTTGAAGGGTGAATCTTAACCTGGCTCTGCTGGTCTTTCTCTGATTCCTGGCAGCCATGATTTTCTGTTTGCCCTAGGCCTAAACAAGATGGAGCCACGTTAGTTGGCTCTGGCGCCAGGAGCCAAAACAAACCTTTGCCCTTTTACATGATGTCTGGTGTTCTCTCATACCTACACAGAGTGACTTCTGTCGCAGCTGGGATCAGCTTAGTACACCCAAAAGATACCTACAAGAAGCTAATCTCTAGGTGAAAACTGCATTTATTTAATTCTAAAGATTTTTAGCAACAAACATGTTACTCCTTTAACATGCTCATTTGGCTGATACAGTGCTTTTATTGTGCTAAAACATTTTCAAACAGGTGAGAGAAAGGACTCAAAAGCATTTTCACAGCACATGGGAGATGAAATCTCAGATGGGAAGAAAATAAGTTGATTCTTTTATGTGCACAGTTAATCAATAAGGAGTCAAAAGCTTGGCGTTTTCCAATAGTACTGGGAAACACTACTGAGTACCATTTATTAACACTGAACTTTTTATGATGAGCACTGTTAGCAGTATAACATCTGCACGTACTCTTAAATTTCATACTAGTTTTGTTAGATTTGACTCTGTTCAAATCAACAAATATTCATACCTACATGAGGGAAGAAGGACATGAAGTCACCTTTTCATATTTTCATCTAAGTTCTTTTTATGTGCAAAAGTTGTACTGGGATTTAAAAACCCAATGCCATTTAACCATAAGCAATGTCACTGTTAACCATAAGCAATGTCACTTCAACATAAGCAATGTCACTGTTAACCACATTTGTTTTTAGGCTACAGGACTTCCCATTAGTCTTTCTTGTCGAAGGGCAATCAATCTTTTGAACCACTTTTCCTCAGCTTCAGCTTTCTCAATAAACAACTGGAATAAAACAGAAGAAAAACGTTATTGTGGACCAATAGCTGGGAGTTGACATAGTATAACGCAAGTCATCTTTATAGAGTACATCTCTCAAGATCTTAATTGCAGGCCATCTGTCAAGTGTTAATGCTCTTGGAGTGAAAAGACTAACACAGACACCATGTGGGGGGGCTGGGGCGCGTGGCTCAAATGCCTGAGGACCTGGGTTCAAACCCTACTACAACAAAAAGAGACCAACACACATAAAAGGGTAGCGCTATTAGTGAACAGTTTTGTACTCTGTATTTTGAGTTCATTTTCTACATCTTTCTGGAAGAAACAGTACAATTATACTATTTCTTAAAGAGAGCAAAATATATGAATGATATGCTAAAAGCAAAGTAAGAGCTAACATTAGAATTGGGGACAGGATTTTTTTCCTTCTCTTTGTCTTTTTTTGTTGTTGTTGTTGCCAGTACTGGGGCTTGAACTCAGGGCCTTGGTGCTTTTGCTTGCTTTTTTTTTCCACTCAAGATTGGCTCTCTACCACTTGAGCTACAACTCTAGTTCCATTGGCTATTTTTCTTATACAGAATACTTCTAAAAGCCAGAAAACATGAGCTGGATCATCTTAACAGATTCAAATATATGTAACAAATTCTAAGGTCTGGAGGTCAACTGCCTATTTTTCTCCAGTGATCTTGGTGTCACACCAGAGGACTGGGATCGGGAAGAGTTTCAGTGGGTGGACTCCAGTGGGGACTCTTACATTCGGATGAGCCAGAGAGTTGTCGTCCTGGTACTTGATAGCGGTGGGGATGCTGCTGGGGTCCAGCTCCTTCCCGACACTGGGCAGCTCGGCAGCCGTGGCCGCTGGGCCTGCAGCTGGAGCTGCCTGCTTTACCTCACTGGGCTCCACGGCCTGAAACATACAACACAAGCTGCACTCACAAGGTTAACTGTGCTTCTGATGCCCCATGGTAACTCTCCCATTCTTAGATTTTCATCTCAAAAAGTTCTGTGTTACTAAGAAACTGCCATTCCTTATACAAATACAGCAATGCTGAAGCAATGGGTACCATTCTTTGTCAACAGATTTTCTTGAGAGGCTGTTATGTTCATGACCAGTAAGCATGGATTCTGCGTCTGGCCCCTGTGGTCCTGAGGCTGCATTGCTGGTGGGTGACGGAGCACCTGCAGGCACTCTTACGGAGTACGCACTCTTGACTCTACACACTGTCTGTAAGGATGGAGGCTAGCAATGAACCGTGTTTGTGAGAATCCTGTTTCTTTTCCTATAGACATCGTAGGAAATAGTCACTAAATCTGATTTGGCCGTTTTCTTATATTGTGGAGCCACGACCCCCTGTCTTTCTGGATTCAAATATTTGTATGTTTCCAGTACACTGGGCCCAGGAGGTTCTTGACCCTCAGTGGTTTTCTGACAGTTTGTGAGACTGAGAGCATCTTAGGCAAGCACGTGTTTTACATGGGGAAGCGGGAAGCTCGCCTGATCAGTGAAGACTCAGAGATGGATCTGACTCTGAGCCACACAGAGACAGAGTGCTAGATGTGCATCTCAGCCGTGCAGAGATAGAGAGGGGCCAGGACTCTGGCTGTACATGCTGAACTGCCTGCAGGAGACAGGATGCTAGAGACACACCCCTATCTGGAAACAAGCGCAGACATTCTCATACACAGCCAAGCTCCCTCATTCGGTCTTAACCTACATGCAACATTTGTTTTCTTTAAGAAGTGCTTGTAAATGTTACTTAATAACAGATGATGACACCTTCTGGGGAGATTCACTGACTCCTTTTTATTTTAGGGAGGAGATTTCAAAAGTTTTGCCTTGACTAAGATGAACCTCCAGGGTGGGAGGCTCCAACTTCTGGCTTTGGGACACACTGCCACCTGGCGGTTCGTCTGGGAACTCTAGTTTTCCTTGCATCTCCTGTAAAAGAGCACAGGCCTGGGCTGTGTAGGGTGATTCAGGCCCCTGGTGAGCACAGGAGAGTCCTCCACCACATCCACAGACCTAGGGCTAAATAACTGATGTCGAGCTTATCTGAGACAGCAGTTTGAAAACACGCTACAACTTGGCTCCTAACGTTAATGAAGTATCTGGAGCTATCAGATTATCTACTCAGACAAGGGAAATTTGACTGCAGACTTAAACTAGTTAAATCAATGTGTTGCAGGAGACATAGTGTCTAGGATGTCATTGCTTAATCAGTGCAATTAACACAGCTGAGGAGAGACTGTACCAACTGAAGGGGGTGAGGCCGGGCCCGGCCTCTCCAGGGGGCTCACTGGCCACACAGAACTATCCAGAGGAGAAAATGTGAGAAATGGCTTATGGTGATCAGTCCCAGAGAGAGGTCATCCTCGCTCTAGCAGGAACGGCCCTGTCTCCCTCGATCTAGAAGCTGTCCTCAGGATCATTGACTTCTCTTGGCTGAGTGATCTCCTGATAAATAATTCAGCATCATGGGCATCCATATCCCAGCCCACCGCAGCCACAGGGGCTGCAGCGTCAGGAGGGGACGGCACTTTCTAAGCTAACATGTTGTCCCTAGTTTTACATTTCAGGCAACTGTGAATTCCCTCCTCCTAGCCTGTCATCTTCTGGTCGTTTCCAAGGGTATTTACTAAAGAAAGCGAGTGGAGGCCCCTGTCAGTATTTGCCTCTTTCAAAGTCCTGCCTAAGTTGTACCTGGACATGTTAACTCCAAAGAAGATGCACACCCCTGAGAAAAAGCTGCCAGTGCTCGAGTGGGGCCCATGCTCGTTACAGGACCAACAAGGTAGAGTGCTGGCTACTGTGGTAGAATTAAAAATCAACATGACCCATTTGCACAGGGTAATTTTCCAGAGGTTATGCTTGAAGAGCATAACCTCTCACTCATTTGTCTGTCTAGGAGCATGCAGACATTCTCGTCCCTCGCCATCTACCTGCAGCCGCAGGGCTCCCATCTGCAGGAACTGCACTGGACAGCACCGGGCAGGAGGAAGCCAAGTCGTGCAGACCTACCTTCCGGACTTCTTTACTCGACCGGAACGTCTGCTGAACGAAGGACTCGCTCTCAATAGCTTCGATTTCCTTCACTCTCTTCACCTGCTCCACCAGGGTGGCTTGGTCTGACAGAGAGGGGAGAAGGTCAGCAGATTTTGATGTGAGCTTGTGAACAACACAGCACTGAAGGAGTGCTCTTTCTTTCTGCAAAGAACTTTAGCACACGTGAAGCGTAAGCAGGTGGAGAGAAAGCATATCTGAGTTATTCTATAAGAAATGGCCGGGCTGCGAGGTAGCACTGGGATGTGGCTGAGAGCCGAGTCCTCCCCCGCGGCCCCTGGGAGAGGCGGCTGGGCTAGGAAAGGCGGGCGCTCTGGGGTCTCTGACACGGACATACATATATGTACAAGGAATAAGAACATCACGCTCTTACCACTCACACTTCTACAATCATTAACTTCCGTTATTCTCATTTAATTTTGTCCATCACTACCTCAATCTTAGGAGTGGAAACCTGAAACATGTAAAAGTGAATCCTGAAGCCGGGCGGGCACCAGTAGCACACATCTGTAATCCTAGCTACCCAGGAGGCTGAGATCTGAGGATCCCAGTTCAAAAAAACCAGCTTATGTAGGAACTATGAGATTCTTTTCTCTCCAATTAACCACTTAAAAGCCCGAAGTGAAGCTGTGGCTTGAGTGGTAGAAAGTTAGCCTTAAGCACAAAACTCAGGAAGAGTGCCCAGGTCCTGAGTTCAAGCCCCAGGACTGGCACATGCACAACAAAAAAGGTAAATCTTGGAAAGCTTGTCATGTTACCCGTAAATATTTTAGGCGGCATCCTGACAGGTCGACAATAAAACCACCATATGGTGGAGATCCCACTTCTCACCTCCAACATTGTCATGTTCCTCAATGCCACTCAGGCAGTTCGTGTGTGATTTCCCCAGCTTGCTACAGAAGCTCCTCCCACAGCCGGTTCTGGGCAGAGCCAGGCGCATGCATTCGGCAGCCCATCTCCTGTCACCCTGCAGTGCAGCCGCTGCCCCTTTGTGGCCATCATTCGTGAATCTGTTTGGGTTGGGGGGTGGTGGGGGCTGTGGTGGCTTCCTCACTCTGGATTGGCTGATCTCAGCTCACGTGTCACGTGCATGTGTCTCTAGCCCTCCTCTGTTGCACTTGTGTTCAGTGTCTTTTGATCACATGTACCTCAGGTGCAATGTGTGCGCTTCTTCCACTCTGCCAGGACTCACTTCTGCGGCCAAGTGAACAGCCCTGACCTGAGGCCCAGGCGATGTCGGCTGACCCCCCATGATGGCTCTGCACTCACTTTCACGGAATGGCTCTACCTCATTAGTGCTCCTTTCTCAGATGGGTTATTTCATCACAGGCTATGATTTCCCAATTCTTCTGTTCTTCACTTATTAGCTCCAATCTTCTATGGTGAAGAACTTGCCATTGTTGGCTGTAGTGGTAAGTCAGAAAGATGTTTGTTTTGTTCTCTGGTTTAGAGATCACCACTGTGAACACTCACATTTACATGCTTAGTGCACTTGGGTCCACTGTGTCTCTTTTCCTGGGTTGAGGCTCACATGGTCTGTTTTGAGCAGTCCCCACCTCAGGCTACCATCCCCAGAACAAGACATGATGCTCCAGATGCCCCAAAACAAGACATGACACTCCAGATTCCCCAAAACAAGACATGATGCTCCGGATGCCCCAAAACAAGACATGACGCTCCAGATACCACAAACAAGACATGACGCTTCAGATACCCCAAAACAAGACATGACGCTCCAGATACCCCAAAACAAGACATGATGCTCCAGATACCCCAAAACAAGACATGACGCTCCAGATACCCCAAAACAAGACATGATGGCCTGGACGCCCCAAAGCAAGACACAACGCTCCAGACGCCCCAAAACAAGACATGATGCTCCAGACGCCCCAAAACAAGACATGATGCTCCAGATGTCCCAAAACAAGACATGATGCTCCGGATGCCACAAAACAAGATATGACGCTCCGGATACCCCAAAACAAGACATGATGCTCCGGACACCACAAACAAGACATGATGCTCCAGACGCCACAAAACAAGACATGATGCTCCAGACGCCCCAAAACAAGACATGACGCTCCAGATGCTCCAAAACAAGACATGATGCTCCAGATGCCCCAAAACAAGACATGACGCTCCAGACGCCCCAAAACAAGACATGATGCTCCGGATGCCCCATAGCAAGACACAACGCTCCAGACGCCCCAAAACAAGACATGATGCTCCGGACGCCACAAAACAAGACATGACGCTCCGGATACCCCAAAACAAGACATGATGCTCCAGATGCCACAAACAAGACATGATGCTCCGGATGCCACAAACAAGACATGATGCTCCAGATACCCCAAAACAAGACATGATGCTCTGGATGCCCCAAAGCAAGACATGACATTCCAGATACCCCCAAACAAGACACAATGCTCCAGATGCCCCAAAACAAGACACGGAGCTCCAGATGCCCCAAAACAAGACATGATGCTCCAGACACCCCAAAAAAAGACACAATGCTCCAGATGCCCCAAAACAAGACACGGAGCTCCAGATGCCCCAAAACAAGACACGGCGCTCCGGACACCTCAGGCTACCATCCCCAGAACAAGACACGATGCTCCAGACGTCCCAAAACAAGACATGATGGTCTGGATGCCCCAAAACAAGACGATGCTCTGGACACGCCAAGCTGCTCCTCCCTGACGGACAATGAAAAGCCACTTCTCCAAAGAGCTCTACTTGTTCCAGGGGAAAGAGACAGGAAGCAGCCTCTTGTCAAAAAGAAAAATTAATATGACTTCATGCTGATGACTACCAGTCCTATTTCACACCGCTGGATTTCTAACGTCCTTCTTTATATTTGTGTGTCTTTTCTGTTACTCTAAACCTATTCACTTCAAGGAGAGAGGACAAGTTGACAAGGTGTATTAATGACTTTAACGTTTTTCAGTCTTTATGACTTTATTCTTCTGATGAACTGTTGGAACAGAATGCTCGAAAGTCAGCTGAAACCATTTTTATGTGTTTATGCCATTGAGTCATTTATGCAGCTAAGTTCTTTTGTGTGTATGGAGGGGTGGTAGGATTTGAACTCAGGGCCTGGAGCTTGCTGGTTGGATTTTTCTGCTCAGGTTGGCCTTGAACCACAGTCCTCCTGTTCTCAGCCTTCTGAGCAGCCAGGGTTGTAAGCACCCGGCATCTCAGTTCTTTATTGATTTTTAGGTCTTACTAATTTTTAAATACTTAATTTTTAAATACTTAAATAGTTGAGGTCAAAAACTTCAACCTCACTATTGGGATCTAGTTTCCCATCCCCCCATCCTATGTTTCTAGTTCTCTCTTCAATCCATAGGTAACTACTTTTAACATGTTTGGATTATCTTCCTATTGCTTATTTTTGAAAACAGAAGTGTACATATCCTCTTCTTGCCTATTACATAAAATCAGAATGTTATACAGTCCCATATGTAGCTTGAGTTAACATGTCTTCACGGTAACTTTACAGAACCTTAGTGACTTCTTTGCTCTGCTTTACAGCTGCCTCACAATCTATCTTACAGTTTTACACTGGCTTTTTTTTTCTCCCAGCGCTCTGTGGATAGTTATTTCAAGTCTTTTGCTCTTACAGTCACTGTCTTAACAAGCAAACCACACACATATGTCATGTCATAGTTTTGTATTTTCTTTCCCACATGCTGGCTGGGCAGAAAAACTCTAACATGAGTCACAACTTCGCTGCTGACAATTTTTCTCCACACGGACAGGAACCGTGGCTGCATGAACACAGGCGCTGTGCCATTACGGGATGAGACTTTATGGGCAGTGGTGAGATGTACTTTCTTTGTTCTTTTTTTTTTTGTTGGCCACGGGTCTTGAACTCTGGGCCTAGGCACTGTCCCTCAGCTCTTCAGCTCAAGGCGAGTGCTCTACCACTTTGAGCACAGCGCCACTTCTGGTTTTCTGGTGGTTAATTGGAGGTAAGAGTCCCACGGATTTTCCTGCCTGAGCTGGCTTTGAACCATGATCCGCAGATCTCAGCTTCCTGAGTAGCTAGGATGACAGATGTGAGCCACTGGAGCTTGGTGGTGGCTAAGAAACATCTGTTTAAAAAGTTTAAAAAGAAGGTAGACAGATTTCCATCAAAGTAATTTTTATATCCTGGAAGTTCTAAGCTGAATGGGTGAATGCTGCTTCAGAGATAAATAGAAGGACTGTGAAAAGAAATTTGATTCCATGAATTCAATAGAAATGAGGCATTTCTTAAAGGTGTCTGGCCAATCTCAAATTTGTTTCCTCTCATGCAGGTCCCCGATGACCTGGGAGAAGGCCCGTCCTGCGGCCAGACCTCCCGCCCCTCCCCCGCCCCCGCGGGAAGCATGTGGGCGCTGCTGGGAGGGGCAGCAGCTCCAGCGCTGCTGAAGGCTCTGGAAGGAGCCGGCTCCCTGCACAGCTGCCCTCCAGGCATTCATTATGCAGTGCGCTAACTGCGGATGCGAAATGAAACGAGAGCTTCTCTGTCCAGCTAATTTACTAAAATCCACACATCCCTGATCAGTGGATGTTTAGCACTGCGCGTGGAAGGAACGTTAATAAAGCAGGGAAGGGTGTAATGGGCACCGTTCTACCTAACCCTGTCGGTACAGGCCCTAATTATCTCGCATTATTTCTCACTCAGGATGAGGTCTCATTCGTATCAACTGTAGGGCATCTTAGGTTTTTCTCTAACATATTCTCTCATTTGGATTTGCAAAAGCACATCATTAGTATTAAATGTCAGAGGTGAACTCACAGACAGTTTGGCTTTCCAATGCCGGTAGTGTTTGTAGCTTTAAATTTGGAAACACAACCAGCTCCTAATACAAATAAAAGTGTTATCACAGAAGCTGGCCAAAAGGCCAGCATGCTTATTAAAACAGCACTGTAGAAATTATAAAGGAAAGAAGGAGAAAGATGAGAGAAAACAGAACATCATCTTTGTGCTTTAAAAAATCACCTCAGGATTAACAAGGTGACAGGCCAGATAGGAGAAAGCCAGCTCTCCTGACTTACAATATGAAAATAAACCAAC